ATTATACCTGTTCACTATTATATAATAACAGGAAACATGACTGTGAGGGTAACTACAATAGGAGCTAAGATATATTTGTATAATAGTTTCTAATATTACTATCCTTGACAGTTAACGAATCAGTCAGGACATTATTCTAAATATTTTTTTACAAATGTATTTTTTAGATTTATTTATATATTCATGCATTTATTTTAATTTGACCACACACACACACACACACACACACACACACACAAATGAGTGAGAAGCAAGCCACCTGGTCCAGGACTTGAACTGTGGTCACCCATATGGCAGTATCCAGCGCCTTAACCACCACACCACCTGCTGGTCCCCTAAATACTTTTTTATATATTCACTCATTATCTCACCCATGGCCAGAGAAAGTATTTGCCTCACCAAATAAACTTTTTTTTTTTTACAAATATTGTTTATTTTAATGAAGCTGGTACAGACAATGTCCATTTAAAACCCATATCCCAGGCCAAAAAGGACAAATAAAATCAAAAAGAGCAGTGTTCTGTTGTATACACTTATGCATGAATAACTTTATTAACTGCTAGTGGAAATTAGAACTTTTCTGGGATCTTCTGACAAGATTATTTAAATCTTAAAATGGTTTTCTTCAGTGAAGCCATCTTTGGAGTTAGTGAACTCTCACCGTATCTGTACTCTCACCATATCTGTCATCTTGACTCCGATCTAATATTCCTCTTCTTTTGGTCCAGACCCTCAGATTTTAAAAATAGCTTCAAGTTAAGGAAAGGTCATTTTTCCACAGTTCAGTTCTCTGAAAAACTTCCATCTCCTACTGAAAGACATAGTCCAGGAACGAAGCAAACACATGCTGAAACTTCAAGGCCAATTTGAAAGTCACTATGAACACTTGCACTGGCCGATCTTAGTTACCACCACAAGCCTGAAAATGCAGAGTCCTGAAACAGGTGTCCTCTCTGTGCACACATGTAACTTGTATAAAGGAGGAGGCACTATGAAGGGAGCTGAGGCATCAGCATAATGAAACAAACAATAACAAAAAATGAACACTAGGATTCAAATTACCAGATGTTTTAAAGAGATGGGGAACCAGTTTTCAACTCCATTTTGAACACCACATTACAAAAGAACTATTTCTAAAAATAAAAAAGAATTGAGGGAAAAGAAAAAATAATAAAATCTAAACCATTGAATGACCCCCCCATTTGTTCCTGATAAACTTCAATCACATCTTCCTCTTCTATTCTGAGTTCTTTTGGAGTATGATTATCAGCAATTCTCTGACCTTCAAAGAGAAACCTGAGGAAATTCATTGGAACTCCCTGTCTTTGACAGTATGATTCTTTGTTTCTTGAGGTGTGTTGTCATTTTCACTTTGAAGTGAATCTCACTGCTATCCTGTCCAATGACTTTGGGTGGGGGTGGGGTGGGGGGGTGTCTCCGCACAGCAGCTGCCTGGGGCAGGCAGGAGCTCGCTTGGGGTTTACAAATCCATCCCTCTTTCCTCACCAAATAAACTTAATGGGATGTCAGACTCTTGTCTTGACATGAAGCTGCGTTATCATCCCCAAGTGATGATTACTCATTGTAATTCACATACTTTTACCAAGACTCCATTGCGCCAGGGAGTTGGCACTGCCTGAAACTTAGAAGTGAAGTGAGCATAGTGGCATAATATGGAAAGGCACCACAGCTGCATGTCTGACTGGCTCACCTGAGATGGTTATGACACTAGTCCTAACATAAAGTGATATGCATAGGATGATGGTATCAGTGGTACATTTCCTCAAACCTTTTAAGTTTTTGCTATAAAGTGTGTGTGCTCTCTGGGGAGGGGGAGAGGGGTGAGAAATCACCTGTTTAGGGGGATGGCCATACTACAATACCTTCTCCCCCACTCTCCCCTAGGGATTTTGGGCATGCATGCAAGTGCCACACTCACCTGGCATGATTCTCAAGCTGCCAGGTCTAGGACTCAAACCATGAAGTTGGCCATGTGGAGTCTGGCATATTAACCTCCACACCACCTGTTAATCCCTTTTCCTTGAACTTTTTTCTTTCAAATTTTCTTTTCATGTGTCTGGGCTTTTATATTAACCACTTTTTTCCCTAGGTTGTGCAGCCCACAAGCATGTTCCCTTGACTTACTGAACATTCTTCAAGTTAAAAAAACCCACAACACCCTTGCTGCTTAAAATATATTAGTTTTGTTGTCTGCAGCTGTTTTTCTGCATTTTACTAATAAAAGAACACCAATCAATAAATTGTATAAAAATACATTACAGTTAAGGCCACTAGGTGGTGTGGTGGTTAAGGTGCTTGACCCCCACATGGCCAACTGTGGTTTAAGTCCTGACCCAGTGGGTTGAAACACGATGGATATGCATGGATGTGTGCCTAAAATGCCAGGAGTATGGAGAAGGGATGGAGGATGGAGGAGTGGCCATCCCACTTTTTCCACTGCCTCCCACCCCCCCCCCCCCCCCCCCAGCAACACACACACCCCAATGGCAAAAACCTTAGAAAAAAAATTTTTAGCAGGTAAGTTTTTGGGAGGGAGAGGTTTTTGCTATAGGGCATGTGCGCTCACCAGAAAGAGAGACGGAAAGCAAGAAATCACCCCCCAGGGGGGGATAGCCACACTGCAGTCCCTTCTCCTCCATTCTCCTTTCGGGATCTTGGGCATGCATGCACACGCGCCCAGCATGAGTTTAAGCCACTGGATCCCGAACTCGAACCGTAGTTGACTACCCGGGAGTCCTGAGAAATAGCCATTACCCTAACTACTGGTCCCTAGCAGGTAAGAATTTAACAAATATTTTTCAATAGCCTTAGATCTTACATATTATTATTATTTTGGAGAGGCTTTTGTTATAGGGTGCATGCAGCCAGAGAGACAGAAAGACAGAAAGTGAGAAATCACCCCCAAGAGAGGATGGCCACGCTGCAACCCCCTCTCCTCGTCTCCTCTTGGGATCATGGGCATGCACGCACACGCGCCTGGCGTGAATTTAAGCCACCGGGTCTGGGATTTAAACCGCGGTCGACTACATGGGAGTCCAGCGACATAGCCATTATGCTAACTGCTGGTCCCGATCTTACATACTGTTAGTAAGTAAAATTATGGGGACCAGCAGATGGCATAATGGTTACGTCACTGGACTCCCACGTAGTTGGTTGTGGTTTGAATCTTGGACGCTGTGGCTTAAAACTCACACCAGGCACACATGTGTGCATGTCCAAGATCCCGAGAGGAGAATGGAGAAGGGATTGTGGCATGGCCATCCCCCTGAGTGGTGTGTGTGTGTGTGTGTGTGTGTGCATGTGATGTATTGCATTCTCTCTGTCTCACTGGCAAATGCATGTGCTCTATATCCAAAATCTCTTAAAAAAGAAAACTATGATAAATGTATCAACATTATACTACTTAGTAACCCATACTACTACACATTACTTACATGTACATCTAAGTATTGGTTTTATAGACATGAAGTACACTTAAGTTATGCCTCTGTGAACACAGGGAGAGTAGGACTGGAGAAGGAAAAAAACAAGACTTCAACTTTTTTGGAAATGATTTATTTCTTTGGTAGAATTTTAATCAAAAACAATAATAAAATAGTAAGTCTAAGCGGTAGTTACACACGTGCTATTATTTGTTTGTGTTATTTTATTTAGTCAAGATTTAAAGCACAAACTAAAAGAGAAGAAAATTTGGAAAAATATTTAGGAGTGAAAGATAATTCAGAAACAATATCAGAAAATTAGGTATTATATTAAAAACAAACAAACAAAAAACCTTTAAACAGCAGTTAGCTGTGGTCTGCTTGTTTTTGTAAAAGTTTTACTAAACACAGCCAAATCCCTTTGCTTCATGTTAGGATTTCACAATCTCTGCACTATTGACATTTTGGACCAGATAATTCTTAGTGCAATGTGGACTATGCACTGTAGCAGTTAGCAAGATCCCTAGGCTTGGCCCACTAAATGACAGCAGCATCACCTTTCATTGTGACAACCAAAAATGTCACTGGACATTGTCAAATAAATACTGAGAATATGGGTAGAAGCAGCAAAATTACCCCTGGTTGAGAACCACTGGTTTCTGTACTATGTGCTTTTACACTGCAACAGCAGAGTAGAGACTGTATGACCCTTAGAGTCTGAAATATTGACCGTGTGGCCATTCACAGAAAAAGTTAAACTCTTTTTGCCATATTCAAAGGCAAAAATATGTGCTAGACTTTAAAAAAATAAATTGCAAAGCATATGACAATACAATCTTCTTAGAAAAACTTCCACAAATTGCTTTAAAAAATTACTCCAATTTTAAAAGAAGTAAAAACAAGCAATTCATAGAAACCAAATTCCACTGACCCTTAGGCATGGTAGAGACTCAATCTCACTGGCAGTTAAGAAAATGAAAATGGGGGGCCAGCAAGTGGCATGGTGGTTGAGGTGCTGGAGTCTCTCATGACCAACTGTGGTTTGAGTTCTTGACCTGGTGGCTTGCTTTCTCACTTTCCCTCTCTCTCTGGTGAATTAGTAATTATTATTATTATTATTATTTTTTTAATTGAAGGCACTTTTTATTTTCCTTTACCCACCTTAACAAAAAAAGTTCAGTCCTGGTTGAAACTGGCAGGAAACGAATATAGATTCCAGTTGGCAAGTTCCAGACAATAAGGCATTGACTATAGTTTAAATACACTACATTGTAAGGTAAGCAATTCAACTGGTAGAAATCCACCACTGCAGAAATTAAAGCACCAACATGCTAGAACTATAGTAAAATTTATTGTAAAATTATTGATAACAAACCTGGGTTTTCTCTTTAGAGAGAGATTTTTGCTATAGGGTATATGTGCTTGATGGAAAGACAGAGACTGAAAGTGAGAAATCACCCCCTGGTGGGGGATGGCCATGTCACAATCCCTCCATTCTCTTCTCAAGATTTGGGGAGTGCATGCACATGTGCCTGGAGTGAATTTTAAGCTGCCAGGTCTGGGACTCGAACTGCAGTCAACTACGTGGGAGTCCAGCAACATAACCAGTACACCACCTGCTCATCCCCATTTACAGAAGGTTTTCATAAATCACTGAAATCTTGCACCTTACTTCATAGCAACCCACCTTTATTTGACTGGGTTTTCTTTACCTTATGAACACCAATGAGGCAAAAGGTGAGCCATGAATGAAAGCCATGAATGAAAGTTTTACATTTCCTACTGAAAGAATTACCTAACATTCAATAAAGAAAGAGATGATATAAGATGTTCCTACAGTCACTGCATATATAATCATATGATCTCTAATACACAATTAGGAAAATCAAAGAAAATAATAAAAGCAGCTCTAATTCAGCACACTTTAAATACTAGCCAGACCCTATTCTAAAGGATATACATGTATTTAACCCTATGATGTGACTAAGAAATCTGGTGTTAGTATCACTAATTTATAAATGAGAAAACTTGGGTGCAGTTAATTAAGTTGCCCTATAAGAAATAAGTTATATTGGTAAAGGTGAGTAGAAATTAAACATTGGTTAAATCTTTTCCCACTTTGGTTCAGTTCAAGTTAATTTCAGTGAATTAGCTTGTAGACATTTAACACAATTTGAATGGGAAAACTTACTGCATTTCTTTTTAAATGACAGAGAACATATGCATGTGCGAGGAAAGAGAAGGAAGAGGGACAGTATCTTCGACAGAGTCATGTCATATCACATCCAATCTCCTCAATTCTTTAGTTCCTCAAATCCCAGCATGTTCTCAGGCCAACCCAGAAACTTGAACCTGTGGTTGGTCATATGGCTTCTGGATTCTCAGGACATGTGTGTTACCACTGCATTACCATGACTGGGTTCAATATGCTCCATGTTTCACACTAATGGTGTCTTCTTAAGTATGAATTTTCAGGTGAATAACTTGATATAGCAAATGTGGTATTTATATTATAAACCTTCTGATTTCTCCTAAGGTCTAATATCCCTGAAGTTGAGAAAGGTTGAATGGTTAATTTCTTGAACACATTCACTGTTTTCTTAAACTTCTAACCATAAAATTCCCTGAGGTTGACTGTGTTCTGGTCCACCAAAAAGGCCTTTCCATGTTCGTTATGTTCATGGAATTTTCCAATTTTTCACCAACTGACTCTGATGTCTAATAAATTCCAAAACACGAATAAACTCCTCCTAATTCTAACATTTATAAGGCACGTGTCCAATCAGTTTTGACCCTGAAATAAAGGTCTTTCCAGCCTTATGAGCACAGTATAAATTCTGATGACCAATAAGTTGTTTTCCTCAAATTCTTTCTCACATTCCATACAATGATAGGTTTTGTTAAAATTATATGATTTTTTTTTTATGTCAGTCAAATTCTGAGCCTTCCCATATTTTTTCATTCACTCCTCTGTCCTGTATGAATTCTTTGATGTTGACTAAGGTGTGAACCACGAATAAAGGCCTTCCCACATTGCTTACATTCATAGGGTTTCTCACCAGTATGAATTTTTTGGTGTCGACTAAGTTCTGAGCCACGACCAAAGGCCTTCCCACATTCTTTACACTCATAAGGTTTTTCACCACTATGACTTCTCTCATGATGAGTAAGTTCTGACCTTCGAATAAAAGCCTTCCCACATTCATTACATTTATGGGGTCTCTCACCAGTGTGGACTTTTTGATGTCGAACAAGTTCTGTGCTACAAGTAAAGGCCTTTTCACAATCCTTGCATTTATAGGGCTTTTCACCAGCATGTGCTCTCTGATGTCTAGAAAGTTCTGAGCCACGACGAAAGGACTTCCCACATTCCTTACATTTATAGGGTTTCTCACCAGTGTGAACACTTTGATGTCGAAGAAGATGTGAATCAGAGATAAAAGCTTTCCCACATTCCTTACATTTATGGGGTTTCTCACCAGTATGGATTCTTTGATGTAGACTCAGTTGTGAGGCACAACTATACACTTTCCCACATTCTTTACATTCATAGCATCTTTCACCAGTATGAATTATCTGATGAAGACTAAGTTGTGTGTCATAACGAAAAGCTTTCCCACATTCCTTACACTTATGGGGTTTCTCACCAGTATGGATTCTCTGATGTCGAAAAAGGTGTGAGGGACGAGTAAAAGCTTTCCCACATTCCTTACATTCATAGAATTTCTCATCACTATGAATTCTGTGATGGAGATTAAGCTGTGCAGTAGATGGAAAGGCCTTCCCACACTCCTTACATTTATAGGGTTTCTCACCTATGTGCATCCTTTGATGTTGAGTAAGTTGCGAGCTAGACTGGAAAGCTTTCCCACATTCCTTACATTTAAGAAGTTTTTCACCAGTGTTAATACTCTGAGGCTGAGTAATTTCAGAACCACACATGAAGTTACATTTCTTATTTCCATTACTTTTTTTGCTTTCATGGAGTCTCTGATGCTTAATCAAGTCTAACCTACTGTTAAGGATTTTCCCACATTCTCCACATACAGAGTCCTTTTCCTTATTATGATTTTTTTCATGCTGAATAGGACGTGACTGGCACCCGAGCGCTTTATTACATTTCTTGTGTTCACAGACTTTCTCTCCAGTATGAATTCCCTGAGATTTTCTATGGGCTGTGCACTGAGTGGAAGCAGACTTTTCTTCAGGGTTTATTACACCTTGTCTGAAATGGCCCTCCTGATATGTCTGTTGTTTCTCCAACTGGCATTTGATTTCTCTGTTATTTCTGACCATGGTACATTCAAGGTTAGAATGTTTAAGTCTTTTTGTTATCTCCTGCTGCAATAATTTAACTTCATTACTGTCCTCTGTTGGAGATAAATACTTAGTGTTTCTTCTGGACTCCGAATCTGGAAAATAAAAAGAAACAAAATGGGGTATTTTCAAGCTGCAAGAGAAAGTTCTAAGGAAGAGATGACAAAATAAAACTATTGGCTTATTGGAATAGTCATGAAACTATGTTTACATAGAAAAACATTAAAAAAAAAGAGGAAAGCTATGCTCTAAACCCATCTCCTACAAAAACATTAAAAAAAAGAGGAAAGCTATACTCTAAACCCATCTCCTAGACTCCCAAAATAATCAGACTAGAAGTCTTTTTTTTTTTTTTGAGAGATTTTCACTATAGGGCGCGTGCGCTCGCCAGACAGACAGAGAGAGACATTAGAGACAGAACGCGAGAAATCACCCCCAGGGGGGATGGCCACGCCGCAATCCCTTCTCCTCCATTCTCCTCTCGGGATCTTGGGCACGCACACACACGCGCCCGGCGTGAGTTTTAAGCCACCGGGTCCGGGACGCGAACCGCGGTCGACTACGTGGGAGTCCAGCGACATAGCCATTACGCTAACTGCTGGTTCCCAGACTAGAAGTCATTTTAAAGCTGAGGTGTGTCCTGGCGTGTTCAGGAAAGCTATGCTCTAAACCTGCTCCTAGACTCTCAAAATATTCACATGAGGTAGAATGACCTCTGTCTTCTCTCTGTCTCTGGCTGTCTCTCTCTCTCTTTAAATTTTTCTTTTTTTCTTGTTCTTATTTTTCAATCACCTCTCCTGAGCTTGGGTCTTTTTTTTCACTTGTTAATTTCAGGAGCCATTTTAAAGCTGAGGTCTGTCCTGGCGTGTTCATGCGGCGAACTCTTTTTGGTATTATTTTTCTAGTTTTTATTATTTTTTTTTCTTTTTTGCTTGTATTTTGTAACCTTACTTTCTTATTCTAAGCTTCACTCTCCACACACTTAATGTCTAAATAGGCCTAGGTGCACAGTAGCCAAGCATCTGAATACTTTGAGTCATTGAAATCCTCTACGCTTATTCAACCTTCTGCTTTAATGAAGAAATTTCTTTTTATAAATCTGAACTCCTAATCTTACTGTTAATACCACACTGCTAAGCACTGTGAAGGAGAGACTTTGTCACAGAATGACCAGAGGCAACCGCAGAGGCACAAGAAACATAAGAAAGCAAGAAAATATCTCTCCCCTAGAGGAAAAGAATAATCCTTCATCATCCACAGACAGTACAGCATTATTTGTGGAATTATCTGATAGAGACTTCAGAATATTCATAGTGACAAAACTAAATGAGATGCAAGAGCTGAGAGATAATGAACTCCAGAAGATGCAGGAGAAGAGACAATGAGTTCCAGGAGGTGTTGAAGTTCTTTCATGATCTGAAAGAGGAAATACACACTATAAAAAAGAATCAAATGGAGCTATTAGAGATGAAGGCTGCCATTCAGGAAATCAAAACTTCCCTTGAAAGTATTAAAAACAGATTAGTCCATGCAAAAAATTGAATCTCATATGTTGAAGGCAAAAACCTCTGATCTAGAAAAAACAACCAAAAAAACTGAGAAAATAACCCCCCAAAATGAGAATATTATTTGAGAAATACTAGATAGCATTAAGTGCCCAATCATCTGGATAATTAGTATACCAGAAGGTAAGGAAACTAATAAGGACATTGATAATCTATTCCATAAAATCTTGGAAGAAAACTTTCCAAATCTAGAGAGGCATTCAAATATCCACATCCAAGAAATACAACGGACCCCTAATAAAATCAACCCAAGAAGATATTCTCCAAAGCACATCATAGCCAGACTGGTCAAATCTACAGATAAAGACAGGATACTAAAAATGGCAAGAAACATCACGTTACTTATAAAGGTTATCCCATTAGGCTAACTTCAGACCTCTCATCAGAAACAATGAGAACAAGGAAAGAATGGGAACATATATTGAAAGTGTTAAATGAAAAACAGTTTCAACCAAGAATACTATACCAGCAAGATTATCTTTCATATGGAAAGAAAGAATAAAAACATTCTCAGATTAACAAGACCTGAAAGAATTTGCCAGTCGCAGACCTACTCTTCAAGAAGTTCTGAAAGGAGTGCTTGACCAGTAAGACTAAAGACACATACAGAAATAAGAGAACGAAAGGCAACCAAGAAAACGACCAATTTAATGCTAGAGACAAGAAGTATCGATAACAATGCTGAATGTTAACTTCCAGTATTTAAACGGAAAAATTGGACCACATCAACACTGTATATTGGGACCACGAGTTAGCATAATGGCTATGTAGCTGGACTCCCACGTAGTCGACCACAGTTTGAGTCCCGGACCTGGTGGCTTAAACTCACGCCGGGCGCGTGTGCGTGCATGCCCAGGATCCTGGGAGGAGAATGGAGGAGAAGGGATTGCGGCGTGGCCATCCCCTCTGGGGGG